CGAAACGTCAATCAATTCTCTTCAAATCAGTATCAAGGTTCGTATATATATGCCTACACCGTGGTTTGTCGTATAGATTTGTCGTTGATCTGGAATATTCCACCTGATCAGTCCCGCTGGACATTGTAGCTTCTTTTGCAATCTTCTTATTTGCTAGGCAAGCAGGCTAAGAACTATGTTCTACTGGTAAGACAGTGAGTGGCTTCACTAATTTTGGTAACGCACGTCGTATGTACCTTTTACAGTACACAAAAGCTTGCTTTTGTATCCCTCTACGTCAGAGAGTGCTCAAACATGAGACTTTACTTGCTCAGAACTGTTGTGTCAAGAGCGAGTTTTCTTCATCTCATACCCGATTAAACTGCAACCTCAAGGAGTGCTTCCAGTATACTTCAAGAGCCATTAGGTGGAACTGAACTTGCTCAGTCATGCTGTTCGCATGGCTGACCTTCCATGCTGGCCTTTGTCACCTACTGTCTTTATATCCTTATCAGCACACTCTTAGAAACATTAGAAGATACATATGCAATTTTATCCTGGGGAGACCCCATCACACCAGCGTTGATCTTCTATGGATTAGAAGAAGGGGAGAAGCTTCAGAAAAAAATTACCTAAGTGTAAGCTTGGTTTGATGAGTGGGGCTGGGATACATACATGCAGAATTGATTTAAGTCACATGTTGTATGAGCTGATGAGGATATTGAAATTATCTTTGGCGTCGCATGTTATATAACCAACAACCGTTACAAGCGGATGAGCTAGTGAAGGGTTCTATGGTTCAGACTTGAAGTTTCAATGGTCTCATTTACATTAAAATCTCTGTAGTGGTGAAGAAGACGGGGAGAAGCTTGAGGGGATGATAGCTCACATAGAAGCCTGGTGTGATACCTGGAAACGATCTTTGTAGTCCCGGGTCCTGTACCCGTTCTTGGAAGACCTCTCCCGCTTGAACAATTCCACAAATGAGGCTTCGTCCGCCTTCGTTACCTTGACGCTTTCACTGTCAAACAGGGGGTACCCGTCCTCACCTACGCACCTCCTCAATGCCTGTCCCCAATCGCGGACAGTCCATCGATCTACGTGCGGACGGAATCCGCGCGTAGGTTGTCGTTCCTCGTCTAGCCATTCGCGCATCATGTCCGCGCACACGTAATTCCATCCTTTCAGCAAGAATTTGAGTTTCCTCGCAATCAATCGATCCTCAAAAACACGCAACCCATTCCGCGGGAGCTTGAGTGGCACCATCCGCAGCTTCACCGATGTCGACATCGCGTTCTTGAAATTGGTTTGCGCACCTCTCTCTGCTATGCCCGAGCCTCTTGCTCGCGGTTCTGTTTCCTCTGCAAACTCTAATCTCTCTCCATTCCAAATGTTGCACACTCAATTCTCTCCATGCCACCGGGTAACTCTCCGCGCGGTGGTGTCTAGAACGTCTCTCAGCTAGAAGGTGGACGCGCGCAGCTCGCACAAGAAATTGAAATCGCAAATTCAAGAATGGGGTGTCCTCTGTCTGCTCGCAGGGGGTCATGGTCGGCTTTCGGTCGTGAAAGCCGAATCACTTGATGATTGCGCCAGCTCCGAGGTATAACGGTCTTCTCTCTCACGCGCGGCTTCACGCTCCGCCGACGCGCCTTCACTCACACGCTCGAATTGGCAATTTGAACTCCGCCAGCGTACCACGCCGCGGCCATGGTCGCGCAGCGCCGAAGGCGGATTTCTCGCCGACGCGCTGCATTCCTCCGTACTTCAACTTGGCTAGTCCCGCTCCGACGAAGGCGTTCGTCCGCGCATAGGACAAAAGCCGAACTCCCTTCTGCGAAGGCGGAATCCCCGGCGGAGTTTCCGCCGGCGTCGAACTTCATCCGCCTGTGCGTAGGCGCTCGCCTATGCGTAGGCGAATTCCGTCCGCACACAAGACGCTCGTCCGCGCAGGTCCCTCGCCGTAGGCGCAGCGCCGAAGGCGGCTGTGCCGAAGGCGTTGACCGCGGTCAACGAACTCCGTCCAGTCTGTCCATCTCTCTCGCCTCTCCGTCGGCGCTCTTGTCTCCGAAACCCCGACCGGCCGAAGGCGCACTCGTCCGTACAATTCGTACGGATTTCGCTACTCCGGTGGGTCCTCACCCAACCGTGATGCGCTACAAGTTCCAACCCCGAAGGCGAATTTTTAGGGCCGAAGGCGGACTTTCCGCCGACGCCGAAGCGCCTATGCGTAGGCGATCTCCGTTCGCCTATGCGTAGGTGCAAGTCCTCCTCGTCTATGCGTTGGCGGCATTCTCGGCGGACCCCCCGCCGACGTCAAATCCTATTTCGCCTATGCGTAGGCGCAGGTCTTCGTATCTTTCGACCGTCACAACTCCCTGCGTCCTGATCCGTTCCAAGCGTTCTTGGGCTCGTTAGAACCAGCGCGTCAAGGTCTTTCCAACAAGACCCTAATCAAGTCAAGGCGTTTGGGAATTGCATAGATTCTGAGGGATTCCTCTAGCGCCGAAGGCGTAGCGCCGAAGGCGGATTATGCGCCTTGCGCCGAAGGGGTAATCCTTCAGAGCCTGTCGTTTAGGGCGGCGCCTATTCCAGACATTGCGCGCAACTCCTGGATTCTACGAGATTCTACGAGATTCTCTGAGATCATCCAGTTTCACTCTATTTTAATGTACCGATGGCTATTTACACTGCTGCCGCGGTACAGTTTTCCAAAAATGTTTTAAATTCCGCAAAAATACCAAAAGTGGGTTACCACATACAACAATCTTCAGATGAACTTGTTTTCACTCGGAAAGTCCTGTGTTGTATCCTCTTGGCTCCTTTGTGAGCTACTTGGTTTCACAGTGTTCCTGGTATCCGTTCTCACTATATTGGTGAATATTTTCATGCCTGATAGCAAAAAGTTCTACGATTAGCGTAAGGTGAATAGAGAGTTTTTCACTTGAGAATTCCTCCTTTGTGTGTGCGTGAAGTTGCATGTGTGGAACATTTGTAACCGAAAAATTGATCACTTGTCTGCGTCCTTTGGTGAAGTCATTTACCGAAGGATTTCACCAAAGGTTGACACAGATAAAAACAACTTGATTGCATTTAGCGTTCGATCATGATGAAGGAATAAGGGCAATGATATATTACCAACAGAGATACGATGAAGTTCTGACCTCATAGGCAACGATTACCAATAAGAAGCATGAAGTATTTACTGAGTTAGCTCGTCATGGGGAAGAACGAAAGGGTTCGAGTAAGAGTGAGCTGAAGAGTGTAGTGTTCAAGTATCACCATGAGGCTTGTAAGTCATGTCTACACCTGGTAACCTTATTGTGCAGATCTTCCGAAGTATGAGAGTGGGCTCGTGTGGAATGCCGGTTGGTTGAAAGCACAAATAGAAATTTGGCGAACGCTCTGCTGCTTAATTTCGGAGTTGCTGAAATTACACTGAAGCCCCTGTAAGAACAGAGGACAGCTCTGAACTCAAGTCACGTGCACTTAACCTATGTGATCTCAAAATTATAGTCCCAAAATTTCCTTAAAAGGTTCACGTCACGTAGTCAGGTATGGCAGAGCCTATTACCAACCGACGAACAATTTAATCCGAAAGAGATGACTCGAAATCTTCTAATGAGTTCAACTGTGTACAAAGTTACAACAGATTTCTGACGCAATGTAAGTCCTCACCTTCGGGCCCGTGACAGTGAAGGAGGGCGACTTTACGATATGGGGTTGTTACAACAATGGAGAAGTGAAACTGGAGAAAATGCACCGATTAGATATTCGGGCCTGCTGTTGATTCTCCGATGTATACACACCCTTATCTCTCGAGCAGATTGACTTGTCAAATCTAAAATGAAGAGTTCCAAATCAAATTGTTCTGAACCTTTAGTGTTCAGATACAGGTATCTGACAAATTTAGGTAGAAAAGTGTTCAAGATAGAACTATTTACTGTGTATTCTTCACACGACTCGCTTAGTTGCACAAACTTTTACAAACGGCTGTACTATATAATATGTTATCACCGTTTGATTACAAATATTACAGTTTGAACACTAGGGATTCCATCTGAGCTATACCTCTTGCGGTTCAGTTTCAGTTTTTAGTTCCCGCAACGTTCCAGGACACGACCGCGATCATTGTTATGGCGTAGATCATTGCAACGCAATAGTTACAACGTTGCAGCCTCTACAGTGACGGCCTCTCTTCTACATGGTTGTTGGAATTTCATCCGGTTGAGGGCATCTACATGGTTGCCGGAATGTAGGGTCCGCTGACCCTCCCCGTAAAGTGCGGATGGATGTCCATATGTTCTTATAGTTACATCCGTCCGCCAGAAAGCGGAGTGATCTAGTTCAGTCACTTTGATGCTCCACCTAGAAATTGAGTGCCAATGAAAAACCTGCCCGGACATGCTTCCATCTTGAATCGAAAAGAGGAGACTCTCAGCGAAAAGAAGAACTTCCGTGAGGGCTCACTGCAGGATGACAACTGCCTGGGTCTATGAAGACCCTATATAGGAGCTATGTATAAGTTTGTGCAGCTAAACCCATCCCTGTATTATATGTACATACAACCTACCCCTTGACCACCTGTGATAGTAGTGAAGTCAATATGCAATAGTGATATGATTTTGGTGAATTAAAAATATTTAACATCAGTGCGAGAAGCAGCTAAATTCAGTTTGTCATTCCTGCCCCTCACAATACTCTTTCCAGTTCACCCTAACAATACATGTGAAATCAAACTTCGAGGATTCTTGCTGCGTATGGTCGACTCTGTTCTGCTTTAATTACAACCCTGAAATCAGCACTAGCTCTAATTTTGTAGTTCAATATATTGTCTCAATTTCTGCTATTTTTTGGCACCACATAGATGTCAACGACGAAATTAATGTGGAATTACACCACTCATTCATTATGATCCATTCAAACTCGACACACTGTTCCACCAGTTGCATTTACTCCAAACACCAAACCAAGCTGATGGTTTGTATGACATAAACCACAACAGAATGTGACAAGCAAATAAAAAATTCCCAAACGCAATTTCTCATATGATTCCCAGAGTTTATTGCTTTAGAAGAACTACAATCGTTGCTGTATGTTAAGAACTTTCTTCTTCGAAAAGTAGGAAACATACGGCGACGAAAATTGAAGGTGTACTATCCGTGACCTTCTCTCGTGGGAGATCCAAAGCCAAAATTTTTCCTTTAAAATTACATCTGATTCATCTAGAATCTAAATCCTACGATGGTCAGTAAGCGTTCAGCTGTCTGATCTAGGTACCATCCGCAATTACAGCTGCAAATGCTAATCTTCGGTTGTACATCCTCTTTCTGTATTGTAATCAAACTTCGAGGCTCTCATGCTCTCGAGGACAATCCTTGATGCTAATTTCTGAACGATGTAAGCAGGCAGAGATGTATCTGTGTTCAAGTAATGAAAGCCTGTGTGGAGTTGGTATCCTCAGAGCTTTACATGATCATGATGAAAATAATCTGCTGCCCACAACGAATCTGCAGAAGTCCGGAAAGTCTGCTTTGTGGTCACGGACGTACGATTCTACTAAAAGCACCTTAAACTCTGCGATCAGAATTGCCATCGGACACCATGAAAGGAGGAGCGTGCCAAGATTTTCTTGCTGTGAATGATTGAATGTGGGGACCTATTCATCCTAGATATCTTCAACTCCAGCACCTATGATCAATTACGGTGAAGATACAAGTTTCTAGTTAAATATTTACAGACTCTAAAAAACGTTTGCAGTGGAGATCCTCACCTGCTCAATCCAGCTGACATAAGTCAGGCAATTGAGCTGACCAGAAGGGGAGAACTTCTTTCACCCTATATCATTTAAAGAGTCTATTCAGCTCTCCTCGAGAAACCCAGGGCCGGGCTGAATACATGTCTGTGACGTCTTGAAATTCCAGTTACTGGGTCGCTTGTGCATGTGCTTTGGCAGCTGCAATCAGGAAGTTCGTGTCCCTCTTGAGGTACTCAAGACATAGTATTTCAGCGTCGGTGAGAATTTCCCTTTTCCTCGCAGGCGGAGGCTTCAGGAAACCTGCATTCGGTCCGAAGCCATATGCCAGACCAGGCATCCTTCCTCTCCCTGCTATGTTCATCATCATGCGAACATACGCATCTCTTAACCTGGCCAATAAGGTGATGGGAGATAGAATCCTGATTTTGATCTTGGGCATCTTGAAACGCCATGACCTCTTGCCCAGTCTCTCGGTCTTCACTTTCACAGGCCTCCCTTTTCCACCTCGCCTATTGATCCGTTCATATGGAACTTTCAAGCGTCCCTTCTTCACCCGTTTCCAACTTTCAGGAATTACTCCTGTCATACCCTCCATGGTTGCCTCCAGATCGAGTCCCCTGTAAAGTAGTTCCTTCACCCTCTGATCCGCTCGACGTACTTGGCAGCAGCACACGCACACAACTCCCTGTTGCATGCAAAGCGAGCTCCAGCAAAAGAAGAAATTCTGTCAGAATCGTCTACCTCCCAAGACGGTCTCTGCTCAACCGATCCATGGCCTCCTGATTTTCTCCGCTCCGGCGAGCAGCACTCGGCCACAGCCTTACGAATGGATGACAGATTGCGAGCTCGTTGCAAGGAACGAGCGCAACGAGAAGAAGAAGAAAGAGCGATCAGAACTGACTCTGGCGCAACTGCCTTGAGGAATTATAGCCCTTCTTTGTGACGACCAGAGCAACTGTGCGTGGAACGCCTGGACCTACCCGTCAACCTACAGTATTCTAGAAGACAGACAACCATCAAACAATAAGTCATTTGGACATTGGCAGACTTTGATGAGTTGAAACTTGGGGTAAATTCTTGGCTGCCTACTGGTGTGTTAAGAGTTAACTTTGTACCCGGCAGCAACAGCCAGAAGGTTCTCAGAGTCGAATGTCCTTTTCACTGTACATAAAGTACAGCATCACTAATATCTCACGATTCTACACCTGCCCGGCGCAAAATGTGGGTCCGATCGAGTCCTTGCAAGCCGTTTTTCTAGAAAAGTCCAACACGTGGGTCTTACTAGACTTGCACTTCCGAGACGCAAAGGGTCAAGAGTGACACACGCCGGTAATTCTCTCCGTGTCCCGACGATTGAGAGATAAGGTTTTTCCATCTGTTATCGTCCTCACGGTTGGATCGACATCTCGTGCCGATGAAAGGCTTCAAAGTCGCCTGAGGTTTGTGCCACAGACGACACACGAGAAAGTACTTCTGTTAAGAAAGTTTCGAGCACGATGATTTTTACCACAAAGCATTGATTCGGAATCTTGCTGACGACTGTTCTTCTGCAGCTCTGTGTCACGAGCAGACGTAATCATTTTCTTAGTAGTCTCAATTAACCGCTGACTCACTTGTGTAATCTTAACAGTCTCCAGTGCACATTCGCTCATAAGGATGACGGATGACAGGCTTCATGTCACTGCTTTTGTCCGTTAGTACGTGAACATTTCTGGTATTACGGCCACACAAACATGAAAAAGCGAAAAAGTTCCAGCTGCTCAGATCTTCGTTACCATAACTTCCATCTACATCAGATAAATTCCTCCAGCCTCGAAGTTTCTTTGATCTTGTCCATGTGGATGGATGACCTTGAACATATCAGCAGAGGAGAGTCTGCTGCATTTGCAGGCGAGATAAGATGAAAGATTGCCTTCTCAAGTCAAACTGTTTCTGTGCGCACATGAGTAAATCTACATGTTCCCCACTCTGCATCCTATTGGAGAACTACCACTACTGTAATAATAGCATCGATAAAGCAGGAATCCCGAATCCGAGAGACGGGTGGCTGTCTTCCTCCTGCTTTCCCTTTCTTTTATGGTTAATATAAACAAATAAATAAATAATCATATCAGGAAATCAAACAGCATGTAAGACTTGGTCTAGTCTCTTCCCTGCCGAAAAGGAGAAGTCAACTTTCGCTTCCAGCATGTTTGCGCAAGGTCCTCTTCCATATCTGCCGCTCCATTAAAAAAGGTGCCCAGATCTCATTAGGTCCAGATCCTCATTCAACAGCGCCACGTTTGGTGGGGTACAGTTTATTAGGACCCAGAACGATTTGCTCCACAACCTATCCACCTCCGACCCGAGGAATTTCCCATGAAGATCTTCGTCCAAAAGAAGCAGAAATGTATATAAAACCAGGCGAGGAAGGTGAGTACGTAGTGAAAGTCTTTTGGACTGTGATTTTGAAGTTAAGGGAAATTTCATGCATTTTGTAAATGATCACAACTTTTTACCCTGCTAGAGACGTGACCCCGAGTGCAGTAGTTTTCAGGCTTGAAATGTGAAAATGGTTTACTGGTACAAATGAAATCAAGTCGCTCGTCGATATTTTACGTAATTCTCCTCATGATCGTCTATACTCGTCTTTTCTTCTGTAGGTCTGCCTGAATCTAGCAGGCTGTGTAGGTCGAAGATCTACGTCTAGAGAGATATTGCCTTCGAATGTTTGTGGAGCTGTCCATCCAGCATTGCTCGAGACCTCTGCCGACTACTGTATGCATAGCTGTACGTCGACAGCAGGATCAAGTTCGTCAAGGATGGCAGGTCTACTACTCCATCAACCAGAATGTCGAACGACTTTTGTTGGACTAATACGTGCTCGGACTTTTGAAGAGAAGTGTGGAAGGTTCTTAAAGCTTTAACGTTACTGGGCTGTCTACAGGTCAACTCTCTACGACTCTTCGAGACTGGGACCAGTCCGTCAACGTATGAACGTTGTGCATTGATCTTGACTGTGCACAGGTGTGAAAGCCCAACTCTTGAGACCATTTCTGTGTCAGTGGGTTAGGAAGAACAGGTGCACGCTAACACGCACAAAGCGGCTGCTTGTCAACGAAGATGACAGTGGGCTCATCTCACGACACGAGTTCCGAGCTTCAGTCAAGGTACATAACTCAAATCTGCGAGTAATGTCTTGTAGCACAGTATTATGTATGAGAAATTTTATTTTTTTCTTGAGCCTTTTGATTCCAGGTCAAGCAAATCAAGCATTTTCTGGCGTACACAGCGATCACAAAATCTGATATGATCGAGCTTTGCCCAACAATTAGAGAATTGGAAGATCTACAATATGGATGCTGTCATTCGCGGAAGACGAGTCTGTAAGAGTTAAATACTAACATAAACATCTAAGACCTCTACTTCGAAGCGAAGTCTCAGTTCTTGAAATTTGATGTCGCGAAGTGACAGCTTTTACAATCTCAGTTGCTGCTTTTATCATTTACGATCATTTTGAATGTTTGCAGACGCACTTGCATTCACTCTGTTAGATCATGGTGGTGGAACAGTGTGTTCTTGCTGTAGGGGCCGAGGATCTAGTAGATGTGAGTTCAGTATCCAGGTCGGAATCCTCCGAGAATTCAGAATGATGGTTTTGTGCACAGGCAGGCCAGACGAGTTTGGATCTTTGATCAGATCCAAACTCGTCGTAGAACACGCGTTAATAACTAAACCTAAATCATCGCTGAGGAATAGATACATATCACCTAAAGCAAAGACCGTAGCTGTGCCGAAATGCTCGCGCAGAATACCCTACAGTACAAACTCAGCTGTAGTTATTCCTTATCCAAATATGAAACAGCGACATCTGAGAGTATCGTTCTCGGCAGCTGACTCAAACAGAAAGAGCGGCATCCTGTGTAGCCGACCGACATAACAACTATAGCATCCCTCTATATTTGAACTCACTCAATTCTGCAATCGATATGCTAGGATCGGCCTGAAAACCGTCTTGTCTCCCCTTATATGGCAACAGCCCGAAACTGGCACATCTCAGACAGAATGTCATTGGCAACAGGGCTGCCACCGTGTCAGTTGTCTCCAACAGCTGGATGCATTGTTGACCATCAGAGTTGCTATGCCCGCACGCAGCTTGAGCGGCGTTTTGCTTGTGCTGTCATCCTGGTCGGTGCCGTATAATCATCGCCTTGTACTCGTGTTACTGGACTGCAGGCTAGAACAACCCCGACCGTATGACTGTGGGCCGACGGCAGACGGCCACCGTCGTGACGGTCTCTCCTTTGACACCGTCGCGTCAAGACGGGTGACTTCTTGACGCGACCCTCTCGAATTCAAATTATACACATGGACACGTGTCGGCGCATGGAACAATGTGCGCGCCACAAGAGCCTTCTGCGGGGTTCATACTCTTGGATCTTCGGCTGATGAGAATACCAGCCGAAGTTCTGTCCAGAGCGAACTATCTTTCGCCTTTTACTAAAGAATTCCGTGTGCGGGACACAGAAGCGGCTTGTTAAAATTTTTCGGAACGCTCCTTCGTTAGAGCATCCATCCAACGAAACCAAACAAGGAAATCAGAGCTTCTGAGTAGAAAGATTCATGAGTCAACACAGTTCGCGTACAAGTCCGGATCTTGTTTTCAATGACAGAATAGCTTAATACGATTCACTGTGGGAGTTGAAAGACTTAAAAGAACTGTTTATTAAGAAAGGAACGATCTCGAGGCTGCAGTAGTATAGTTCCTTAAGTTCTTACGTATGCCCACGCTGAGATCAGGTAGTGGAAAGTATATCTTAGGACATTTTGAGACATTTAGCTCGCTGAACCTAGGCAATTCCTTGGAATCGGCGTGCCTGGCAAGGTGGTGCAGAATTGGCAGAATGGCAGCAGACCTGTATCTGGTCGCAAGATTGATGATGTGGTGGGGTTTAAACTGGTGAATAGTCTGAAATCTGAGTACTCAGCATGCTCTTTTTTAATTCAGGTTCTTTCATTTCAGCTTCGCAATTTTAACAAAATCATCGAGTCTGCCATGGACTCCCAGAAAATCAAAACACAAAACTGTGATGAAGATTCGAGAGAGGTTTTCTGTTTCCACCATGGCACTTCGAGGAAACTTCTTCTTCGGCACTGCCCACTTCAGTAAATTGCAGGAAGTCACCCATCACCACTTACTGCAGCGATTCATCGACACTGATTTGATGTAGACGTGGGCACGGATTTGAGGAGGTGGATAATGGGAAACATACACGCATTATGACAGGGTCGGGACTATTGCGCTTTCCTGAAACTCTTCCGGGTTGACGATCCCGAAAGCCACTGCAGGTAAAAGGTAGACCAGACGGACGAGAAAAACAGCGTGCAAGGTTCAAAGCTGGGAAGGGATGGGGAGAGGAACGGAGACCAGACGTACGAGAAAACAGCATGCAAGGTTCAGTGCTGGGAAGGGACGGGTAGAGAAACGGAGAGCAAGGCTGACATCGAGCTTTTAGAAAGGACTAGGAGAAAGAAGGAAACCAAACAAAATTCGAAACCCGCCAGTTCTCTCAAAGCCGCGACGACAGTAAAAACCCTGGCCCATACAAACGCAACTCTCCTGACAATCGTAACTCAGAATGCAGAAGAATGAAGAAATCATTCGACAAATCGCCACCTCCGAGGTCGCCTGATCCGCCATCGTCAATCCGAAAGTGCGTCACAAGAAATGCTAGACGAGAAGGCAGGCCAGAGTCGTATTGGGTGCGAATCGCGATACCCCGGGTGACGGTGACGGTGAAACACACTGGGTGACGGTGACGGTGCCAAACGAACGGTGTACGTATACCGTCAGCCCAGAGAGCATACGGTCGGGGTTGTTCTAGCGAGAAGCGTTACTAGGATCCAAGATATAG